AAAGTTTGCCGTTTCGATCTCACAAAGCGTTAGACAAATGAACAATAATTTAAGTATCCACAGTAATCAAGCTTTTGAAATACGCAAACTACAGTAGTGCGTCATCTCTGTCAATTAGTCTAACATTACTGGACAAAGTTCGAACCTGCTTCAGTTTTTTATAATTAATATCAACACGAAATAACTGTTGCCTTTTTAGCATTACAGATTACTCCACAGCAAAGGAAATTCTACATAATTCGTTAGTAAAACATCTCTCTTCAGAACCATATCGAAATTTACCGATCACTAAAGTTAAACATTACATAAAGATTTCTCTGATTTTACTATCTTCATCTTACATACGCCTAAGGTGTTACTTTACATAATTATTTCATGAATTTAGTCATCCAATAACTTACATAATTCAATACCTTTATGTGAAATTCCGGGAGATAATCTACATCTTCTGCGTCATCCAGTGCATTACTTGAATAGTCGAGAGCTGAACCAGAATTTCAAATAGTTCTTACACGGTACAAGTCCATTATGCAACAACCGTTTCGTTACAACATTCATGAATAATACAATTATTATGACGTTCCAGAAGCGAAAGGCTAGGCTTATAAGTAGAAGCAAAAGGAATAGCTTGGGATCGGGGTCGGGTCGCACCTTTATAAGAGAAAAGGGAGGGAGGGAGAGTTAAGCATGATTGTACATTTATGTCACGGCAGTAGGTCACGGTATGTCACCTTTTCGTTCTTCTAAAAACATAATATCGTATATAAACACAAACATTTCATCTACAGTTTGTATGTAGGACAAGTCACCCGAGGCTTACTCAACGAGTGAGGTAATCAGGTGGTTATTTATATAGATTTCGTGATACTTTGGAGGAATATAATATTTTACGACTCCTTGCGATAAGGATTATGCGTGTTTTGTGGAGTCAAAATAGGAATTTGTAATTTGGGTGCAAATAATGTGTACAGTATCTCCAGCCTTGTTTCCTTATTTTTTTACGATCACTATTTCCAGATTTTTATATTCCCACTTTTTTATTTATCTTATTTGCTGGCTTTTTTTTATACTAAACTATGGGCAAAATATTACTTGATGTGGTAGTTAACTGTGTACATTGTAATGATAGTGAACGTAGCTAGTAGTTAGCTGATATGGTTTTCACTCTATATATAACTAGCTGAGTTACCCGGCGTTGCACGGTGAAAATTTAGATTTGAAATGTATAGATCAGTATTTTTTTTTCAGCAAATTA